CAGAAGACGAAATCCTGACAGAAATCCTGGAAGAACTGCTGTAATCCTTATAGAACTTCAGAACATATCCCGGATCTCTATAGAACCTTACTAGAAAATCCGTAAACGAACCCCTTTGCCGCAGGATTACCTGGAGAGCAAGTCGTATCAGCTCTTCCGGCGCCTCCGGAAGAGCGGGAAAATGCATCCCGGAGTCGATGGTTCGGGTTGATGGTTCAGGTTTGTTTTTTGGATTTTTGGGGGGGTTTAAAAGATCCTTGGGTGTAGGACCAGGATTGAGGGATTCGGGTTGATGGTTCAGGGGATCTTTTAATTAGGACTTATGATTAGGTGTTTGAAGGATCCTTGGGTGTAGGGTTTAGGGATTTGGGGTTAGGGCTTATTGGGTTTAGGGGTTTGGGGTTTAGGAATTTTTGGGGAATTCTGAGTTCGTTCAAGGTTCCTAATATCCCTAAAGTCCATAAGGGTTCCGAGAAGGGTCCCTAAATCTCCCGGCTTTGTTTGTAGGAGATGGGTTACAGGTGCGTAGGGCTCGGGGTGTGGGGTTTTGGGGCTCATTGAGGCGATTTGGGGGTGTAGTTGTGTCAAATTAGGTTTAGGGTTTAGGGTTTAGGTTGTAGAACTTACAATTTTCGGAGACATGGAGCCAAGTGCCGGGTGGTTGACCTGTGTGGTTTCAAGCCGCTGAGGGATATGTTGGGATCATGGGGTTGTGGGTTAGTTAAATAAACTTGCGATGGGGAGATGGCTTGGCAGCACCCTCTGCGGACTGCTTGCAGACGGAGTCGATTGGGGGCTCCACTTGTTGTTTCGTCGTTCAGCAGTCGCGGCTTGTTGAGAACATTGGCGATCAGACTCATGGTGTTGATCATAGTCAGGCTGAGTTAGAATAGAAGCTTTCCGCTTAAGCAATTGTGGTTGCATGTTGCGGCTATGGCAATGGTGATCGTTGCTGTCAGCGGGAAACAAGCCTCGAACTTCCACAGCACCCTCGATCCTAAATAGAAATGCTTCGCGTGAAACCGGAAGCCCTAGACGAGGCCCGGAGCCCACACCATCGATGGGACTTTAACTTAAAGATGTCATGATCCCCGAACCCGACGACACTCAAAGACCCAGACTCGTCACCGCAGTTTTTGGCCGACAGCGGGCGAAAACTAGCGCCACCCCATGAAAAATTCTCGAAGAACCCACCTTGCAAGCGGCAACGGCGTGCATCATTGCGCCAGCTCCTCCCGCCATAGAAGGGCCTGAATTTTTTTCTGGCTCGCGGTTTTGCGTTTGGGCCTCGGGCTGGACGAAGGGAACATTCGCATAAGACTGCCCGGCCCCGCATAGCCTTACCCAGGCAGCCAAGCATTCCGTAGTCTACCCTAAACCCTTGCGAGATTTTGGAGCCATGGAGCCGCGGCCTTTGGAGCACGAGGGTGTTATGGAGCCCGCGCCAGAGGTGGCTTTCCTTCTTCTTGGAGTGGGGCTTATAGGGCTTATAGGGGAGAGTTACTGCAAGTCTGTGTGCAGCGTTGCCTGCGCCGCTAGGCGCCGGGGCCAGTGCAGAGTTCGATGGCCTCGGCCTTGGATTTCAAAGTGATTTCCCCTAACCTAGGGTACTAGAGCCCTTAGGGCCCTTTTTTAGTAGGTACCTGGGGGGTTAGGGTTCAGCCAAGGGCCTCGGCACTGGAGCCCGGAGTGTTGCCTACCTCTAGTCTCCATTGTAGTTCCTTTTTTGGTTTAACCAATTCTATATTAAGGATCCTATAGAAAGGTAACCCCAAAAAGGAACTGCAATGGAGACTATAGGTACTTCTGCACAGGATTCAATGACCAAAGCCCTGCCCAGGAGTCGTTCGGACTGGCTCCGATCGCGGGGAGCGTGCCGTGGCAGGCGCAACTGTGGGTTTGGAAGGGGGTATACCCAGAGACTCCTTAGTAGTTCCTTTTTGGGATTACCTTATAGGGTTCTAAATATGAACCATAAAAAGGAACTACTTAGGAGCCTATGGGTAATTTCTGCTTCCGACAACCAGGCCGTCGACATGTGTGCATGCGCCTTTGCTTGAGAACCCAACTCGGAGTTCATCGGGTGTTTCGTCCCGCATCTGGGGGGAGAGTTCTTGCTGCCTCGCCAGTTCGGGCTGCAGATGCAGTTCTGCTCCACCTGCCGTGCTGTTCCACCACAACTTCTTGCTATTCTTCTCCTTCTCTTGTCGTCTATATGAGTCTATATAGTATATATAGCTAGTACTTGAAGTTCAGAGCGACGTGCTGCCGAGGCGGCAGGGCCGCAGCTGGTGGTCACTTCCAACCTGCGTAACGGTGATGCACCCGGGCCGCAAGATTCTGATCGGAGGGGCGAGAAGCAAAACGGTTTAGGGCTCAGGGCTTACTGGCCTCGGTTTTTAGGGTTTTAAGGCATTTGGGGTTTATGGGGTTGAGGCTTATAGTTTATCGGATTTGGGGTTTAGGACTTTCTAATCGTTTAGGGTCTATTGTGGCTTGGGCGGGGTTTGGGTTCGAGAACTGAGGGCTAGGGTCTGCTGTTGAAGAGTTGTTACTCTCCCGGAACAAGGAAAAGGATGCAGGGTTCATCAGGGTTCAGGGTTTGGGGCCAGTTTGGGGCAGAAGGTCGAGGGCCGAAGCTAGGCCTAGTGTTGACCTCCATCATCCTCTGAGCTGATGTTCGGGGCAAGGCACCTTCGAACTTTTTTCTTAAGGCGAAGGTGCCGACGCTGCTGGTGGACACGGACCGCGCGGCGGCGCACGAGGAGACGGTGCGCGGGCTTTTGGGGCTTCTGGGGTTCCTAGGGTCGTGAGTGTGTATGGTTGAGGCCTTGATAAAAGGTCAAGGCTTGAGGATGTAGGGTTTTGAGCTTCTAGAAATCAAGGGAGTTGAGCATTGCTTTCAGGCATTTCTTTTGTTCGTTTTCAGCTTGGGGAGCCGGACATTTTTCGGGTGCAAAGTCTCCAAGGCCAAACCCCTCAACCCAAAGCTGCAGCAAGAGAAAACAACTGCAAGTCATGCCGTGCTTTCCACGGCTATCAAAAGCCCTCTAAACGTCTGTTCCTTGAGCCAGGGGTATGCAGGGCTATCAGGGTAAAGCCTTCAAATCTTCAAATCCGACAAGTTCAGGTGCTAGACCGATTTCTCGCCCCATGGGTCGTCATGGGCCGGGACCTCTACACGTGCGGGCGAGGCCGAACAGACCGGGTCTCATCTTAACAGCCGCAGAAGGTGTAGGTGTGTACGTGTGTACGTGTGTACGTGTGTGTGTGTGTTGTGTGTGTGTGTGTGTGGGTGTGTGGGTGTGTGTGTGTATGCGTGCGCATGTGTTTGTGTCTATGTGTAGTATAGCGTTCCCTAAACACATATCCTGCCTGACGAAGTATCTTTGTCAATTGACTATGGAGACTCACGTATGAAGGCACTACTCTTTGCTTTGGCGCAATTTCGGGTCACCGGAGATGTACTGTTTCTGAACCCTGACAGTGACAGCGCAGGCTATTATGTAGGAGGGCCTACTTCGTTGAAAGCTTCCCCCTAAACCCTAAAACGCAGGGGGTCCGTGCGGGGGGGTTGGAAACATGCTTCAGATGTTCTGCAAACATATGAAGATTCTGCCACCCAGAGCTAGAGAACAAACTCCAACAACCATCCTTACACTCCGAACCCTATAAACCCAATCAACCCAACAAACCCTGTAAACCCTCACAGCCCTATCTTTCGAGAGCCCCACTAGCCCTATAAAAAACGATTGTAAACTCTCTAGCCACTATATTGCCCGAAAACCCTAGACCCTAAACCCTATAATAAACCCTAAACCCTACAAAATAACTGGCCAAACTCCTTTGCGCAGATCTGTTAGAAGCTGTCCTCGCGTACACCGAAGTGGGCGAGGGCGAAGCATTGAAGGCCTTCAAGGGTTCCTATAAAAGGGGTACTATTAGTACTATTATTATTATTGTTATTATTACTATTCTTATTATTGCTATTCTTATTATTATTACTAATTCTTTTATTACTATTATTATTGTTGTTAAATTATGATTATTATTATTATTATTACTACTACTACTACTACTACGACTACTACTACTACTACTACTACAACAACTACTACTACTACTACTACTACTACTACTACTATAAGGTCTTCCTGCAAAGATTCCCACAGGGGTTTAGGGTAACTAGGGTAGGGTCATTTATGGTTGCCTTGGATGTAGTCGGTTTACTTTAGCATTGACGGCTGAGTAGACAACAGCCAGTGTAAGCATGTAGGGACTCATACATACGTGTATCATCATATATCTGCATTTACCTTTATCCAGTTTTTGCGTCTTCTATGCTTCAGTAATACATGAAGTCACTACGTAGGGTCATTGGCCAAATCTGAACTTTTGGGGTACCGTGACCAATTGCCTGGCTTGCTTGTGCAAAAGAACTCTTGAGCTCTTTGAGCGCAGGGCTGCCTGCACAGCTACGGTTCACATCTACAGTATACGATCTGAGGCTTAGGTGTAGGGTTTAGAGGTCCAAGTTAGTGCGTGGCTTTCCATCTGCGATTCGAAGGTGATTTCAACTTGTGTCGGTTTTTTAGACTTTGAGCTGTGCTCGTTGTTTCTCGGATGGGGTCAGCTCCAGGGTTTTATTTTTTAAGGTGGTGTATGTTTGAGAGACTGTTGAGTTTGAGATCTATGTCAAGTTTGGGGTATTAGCGTTTCGCGCACAAGCCTAAAATCCTACCTCCTGCCATGCCTGTCTGTGTGCTCATGGTGCAAGTTGGGCCGTTACGTCTTGATCACGGTTTGGAATAGGAACTCATCGTTTCCCGGGTCGGTGCCACAAGACCTCTGGCTCCGTCACCTCACCGGAAGCCCAGCAGACCCTGATGGAGTCGCGAACACAGCACCATACGCCGAACCTACAACGACGTGAGTGATGACTGAAGCTCGGGCTCAAAGGTTCTTGGTGGCACCTGTGTCTACGAAAGTGTGCCGGCAGCATGGAGGTAGCCTTCCTTGCCCCATCCAGCAATGCCGTGCAGACCGTCGCCGCACCAAAGCAAGCCAGCCAGCCGGCAGGACAGCAGTCGGGCACTAGCTTCGGAGTGAAGATGGCCGCGGTTGCTTCAGGCACAGCTGCAGCTGTTGGTTTGGCCTCCAGCCGCAGACGCTCCAAGACCGCAGCGCGCTACACCACACAGACGATCCTGCCCTCCCTCGCCTGGATCAAATCGGGCGTGAAGGCTTCCGAGCTGCAGCCCAAGCAGCTGAAAGCTTTGACGCTGGCTGGCAACGATGTGCTGATCGGCAAGACGGAGGCGGGGGCACTCTTCTGCGTCGGGAACCTGTGCCCGCACATCGGCACGCCCATGAGCGAAGGGGCCGATGTCATCGGTGATGTGATCGTGTGCCCTTTGCACGGCTCCTCCTTCAAGGTGACAACAGGTGAGCTCCTCGACTGGTGCGTCTCCCCGCCCGTCATCGGCCCCTTGACCGGTCTGATCGTGGAGAAGAAAAACCTCCTAGTCTTCGAGGTGCGCCAGGGCGGCTTGCTGGGAACCGGCGATGTCGAGGTGCTCGTGGACACTAATGCCAAGAAGCTCGATACAGTTTTTGTATCATTGTCCATTTGCCTAACAGTATAGCTTTAACATATAAGCCCGCTAATACACCCTAAACCCTAAACCCCTAAACCCTAAAATAACACCTAAGCAACTGCAGAAGCTTCTGAAATCGAGACCCAGACCTAGGAAGGCCTATGAGGCCTGGTATTGGAAGGGCCTGCTTGATGCACAGGGCAAGGATGACGGAACCTACTACTGAGAAGATTTGAGCAGCGGATGCTGACATGAGCCCCTGGGCCCATGGAAGCCGATTTATCTTTGTTTTTCCTCTGTTTGAGTGGCAGACCTGCTTGGCTCGACCTTGTATCCCTAAATCCTAAACCCTCGACCCCTAAACCCCTAAACCCTAAACCAGTTGCACGTTGAACTCTCTTGCCTAAAGTCGCCGACCGTCGAGCTGCAGTGTCTCTGCCCCCGCCACCCAGAAGCCTTGGGAGTGGCGATCGCGTGGATACCACGACGAGCCCAAGATTTTTTGCGAGAGAAACACGGTTTAGGGTTTAGGGTTTAGGAAAGAAACACTGAAATGGCCTTTATCTTCGGTTTTCTCACTTGCAGCTGAGTTGCCCCGCCTGCCTGGCTGGCTGGCTGGCTGGCTGGCTGTTTGCCTGTTTGCCTGTCCGTCGGTCGGTCGGTCGGTCTGTTTGTCTGTCTGTCTTTCTGCCTGCCTGCCTGCCTGTCTGTCTGTTTGTGTGTAGGGTCTGTGTTCCGGACTACGGACCTTGATTCAAAAGCTGCTAGAATCAGGAAAGCATCTTACTTCACCATATCCCTAGCCTGGAAAGTAACTGAAGTTCCGCAACAGGAGTTCGCACCCAGGTATGGCAATGTATGATCCCACGATTCTTAATGATTGCAAGTAGGATGAAGATGGATGGTGGTGCAGAGATGCAGAAGTGTTTTTTTCTGCATGTGTATAAACGCATTTTTTTGACGGCAGGCCTCTTCCATGTTTCACACCGTCACTTGTTAGGCTTACTGTTGACTTGGAGGTCGCTCCGAGGCTGGAAACACCTAATATTGGAGTTTGAAGAACTGGCAATAAATGTGTCCCCTCCTTTCCGTTTTCTATTCGGATATGGTCCCAAAACTGATCATTACTCTTCAGGCGCACTTACAACCTTCAAGCTCTTATGGTCTTCGTTGGAGAAAGTGATAGAAGGCTTTATTCACCTATAACCTCCCCATGCTCCCGGTGGAGTTTCGCCAAGTCTACTCGTCTGGTAGTAGAACCAGCATCGGGCTACGAGAGAGTGGCTGCTGGCTTCTTCTTAGAGTAATTCTTCATAGTTGTTGTAAATGTACCCGTGATGGGTACTTTCGGGTCGAAGCATACGGTGGCGCTTTTTAAATATGTGGAGGGCGGCCCAGGCCCAAGGATGACAGAGGTAGTGTAAATGACCTGTTTAAATCCCAAAGTTCAAATATTTACTGCCCTCCTTCACTCCAAGCCCTCCAGCCTTCCGGCCCT